AAGTGAACGCTTTGAAGAGGCCTCTCCGACAGACTCAATCAATGCCAATGCGTCTGTGCCCAAGGGTGAGCTTTTGCTCTATGATGGCCTCAGTGCAGAGCGCTGCCTCGGACGCAGCACGCGCTTCTGAGAATGGAGAAACCTGAGCGTCTCCATGTCTCACTCTCGCCACTATACGCCACAATCACGATAACACAAGAACTGACAGTTGCAGATCAAGACATTCGGATGCCAAGCCCAGCACAGATTCTTTTTGTGGGTTTATAGGGTTATGCCTTATGGATCATCCAAAGATGCTTGCCGCTGCCTCAAAATGCGTGGGAGCAGCACACACTGGGGAGTAGGCGATTTTTAAGCGGACTCGGTGGGACGGCCGCCCTGACCTTGTCCACGGCTTCTTCGAGCCAAGCGGCGACAGAAGCTGGCTCAGTGTCCACACGCACAGCAAGCACAACAGCTCTCGTGTGCTCTACAACGTGCCTTGAAACACGTTTCAACCATCACTGCTGCAGAAATCACATCATTGCATCTTGCCCACTCCTCTACAACCATCTGCTCCTCTTCCCTGCTCGGCCTTGTTGGCAACTGAAAGAAGGTAAAGTGCTCTGACTCTTTCACGGCGACTTACGGCCCGGGCTCTTCATCCGTGCCCAGGCTGTCCTAGTCATGCGCCCAGAAGCTCACAGGCTCAGGCTCAGGTCTCCCTCTTGAAGCCATGCCAACACGCTGGCATCTTGCAGGGTCCATGAGGCCCTCAACGGTGTCTTTGAGAGCACCCTTCCATCCGAAAGGATCGAAGGCCTCTGAAGCCCACAGTTGCATCGAGCATGGGTCATCAAAACATGATTCCCTGCTTGTGTCCCTGCTGGTGCCTCTGCATGTCTCACCACTCGGTCACGACCACCAGCCTTGCAGGCAAACACGGACAAATGGCAAAAACTCTGCCCAGTTTCCATCTAATGACACACATGAATGTGTCGCACCGAAGCCTCTCATTCAAGCAACGTTCGACCATGATGGCTACGGCTACTGATCCTCTCCCTAGTTCCAGATGACGGAACATGCGACCTCCTCTGCAAACGGCAGCTGAGCCTCACCGCTGCACTAACCCACCCCACCTGCATGTGGCCTGCCGCAGGCAGAACATGTCTGGGCCTCGGGTCATGTCGGGTATTCTGTCACGATCTTGCAACTTGCCTTCTTTGCTCAGAAACTTCTTGCCTCAGAACTTCAGCCTAACCCCTATGGGGCCGTAAGCTCTGTGCAGTCTTGAGGTGAAGGCTGTCTCCTGAAAGCACGGGTCGACTGTGCAATTGGAGCCTAAAGACACCACGACACGCCCGTCCTGGACAAGGCTAAGTGTCAGGAGGGCTGCGCAACCTCAGCTGGTGGCATGTGGAGTACAGCGACATACTCTCATTACCAGGTCTGAGTCTTTCACCGAGCCCCCAAAGCCGGGGCCTCAATCTTCAATGTAAGCGCGATGAACATCAAACTCTTCCTCGGACCCCGGCGGGGCGGATCTGACCATGCTCTTGCGCATGCCAGCCAGCTTCCGATTCCCTCAGGCCAGTAGGAGACTTCGTCAGTGAAACAAGCTAAACTGCTAAACCCACAACACCAGCCTCGCCGTCGCGGCTGCGCGGCGTGAGACCACGAAGCTCGAGCCAACGCATGGGCCGGGCGGGCAGGTCGGGTAGGAAACTCTGGAACACTGAAGACGAAGGAGCAGAGAAAAAAAAAGTAGGAGCAGGAAAGGACACAGCAATAAGCGCAGTCGGGGCTACACGGCTACTAACTTGCAGCCTGCAGGGCCCGGGGTCCTTCCAGGCCTGCGTCGCCTTCTGCTGCTCTCCGAGGCAAACAAGCTGCGAATACCTGCCGAAGCAGGGTTTAGGGTTTAGGGTTTAGGGTTTAGGGTTTAGGTTTTAGGGTTTAGGTTTTAGGGTTTAGGGTTTAGGCGCCGAAGCAGTGGCTCACCGTGAAGCAACTCGGACTCTTCGCAGGAGACCGGGAGTCCCTCAACTTGGCGCATGGCTCCGCCAAGCTCTCGAAGGAGGCCACTGCGAATCTCCAGTATCTTGACCTGGGCAAACTGCCAACTTTAGGGTTTAATTATTTTTGTCGCCTCTTTTCCACCTGCCTGGTTTAGTTAGGGTTTTTTTTTTTTTGGGTTTAGGGTTTACCCAAGACACATCCAGAAACACCTGGCTCCTGACCAGGCGTTGTGGAACTGCTGGATGCTATCCAAGAAAGCCACCTCGGTGCGACAGCTAAGTCCCCGAGATTTCAGGAGGTACAGTACAGTATCGCTCCCGACCCCGATCATGGCCTCCTTACTCAGCTCCTCAAAAGGTATTCCGCAGCTTTACGGAGCATCTCGAAATTGTCGCTTAGAGAGAATGCTTTCCGAAAAGTCATTGCACATACGTCGTTTTTGGGAGACGCCTGACCGACTAGCTTGTAAACTTTTGCGACTTGCATCGACTTGCGAAACTCATGACCATGAAGGCAATCAAATGCGCAAGCGAGGGATTCATGCCTTGAGCCTGCCCTCCTAAGAACTGTCAGTCGCGCCTGCATCTCCCTGCCAAAGGCCACCTCGCCGTCATGCCTTACCTGCTTGCATACGCAAGCCAGCTGACTTGCTCGGGCTGATGTGATTCATTCGGTGCCTGCCTCCATGGGAAAGCGTTCTGTGTGCAGCTTGGCGAGGGTCTGCGAGCAATCGGGTGGCAAAGCACTTCAGGAGACGCAGTAACTCACAACCCCTCATCGTATCACGTGCTTAAACGATTTTAAATGACTCCGGAAGCCTCCAAGGCACAGATGGCCAAGGCAAAGCCGTCCAAATGCCTGGAGTACCTGCACGGGGAACAGTGACAAAAATAAATGACACCGTCAAGCCGCGGCTTCTGCAAGCCATTTCAATCCCAAGCCCGGGGCTGCATCTCCAGGCTCCCGTCCAGGGCCTGGCTCTTTTGGCGCCGGCCAGCGTCTGTGGGATTTCTTAGCTTAGCTGGGAACCTGCGCTCCGCGAAGGAATCGAACCCACGAGGCTGGCCCCCAGTACCTAAAGAAAAGGCGGCCAAAGTTTGACCGCATGCATTCACACGCAAGAGAGAGCTTGCTTGTCCATCAATGCCGCTGGCTTCCGGCCTCGCATCTCCAGTCGGGTTCTCGAAGTTCCAGGAGCCCTGAGATTAGTTTGCGAGACGTTCGTCGACACGTACGAGCCCAGGATGTCAAGCAGGAGGCCACGGTGCTTGCGGTGCTTGCAGAAGGCGCCTCCGCGCCAGAGCCGCTGCTCCAGGCGCCGAAGTCGACGCTGGAGCCAAAGTCCAGCAAGGTGAACTCGTGTGAAGCACATGTCCGCATGTCCGCTGGGAAGGGTGTCCCCGTGGTGTCCCCTTTCCAACTGAAGGGCCTCCAAAGCCGAGGCCTCAGAGGGTGCTACGCCGGCCTTTCAGTCTGAGACGGCGGATCTACACACTCGTGGAGCTTAGGGTATGAAACAACCCGACCATGTTCTGGTCGCCTTGCCAGGTCCAGGTCGAGCTTCAGAGCAGGCGACGAGAAGGTTTCTGCACAGAACGTCTGGTCCACCAGGGACAGAAATCTGCCAGGCTAACTTGGTGTTGATGTGCGAAGGATCTCTCCGGCCTTGCATTTACGTCACGGTGCATAGCGATGCGGCCTGCATCACAACGCTCAAATATTCAAGCTTCCAGGGCGAAGTCACAGTACAACTGTGAGAGACAAATTCGCCGCTGCATCGTGCTCGCAAGCTTCTCATCATAATGACTGTCGCAGACATGACGACTCCACGAGAAAGGTCGCGGACACTTCCTCGATTCTGTCAACTTATTACTATGCTATCCCATTCACTCGGCCGGGCACCGTTCAATTCGCGGAAAGTCGGCGCAAGTTGGCGGAGCAGCTCCTACGTCTTCGAGTGCTTCGCAAAACAAGCAGGGTGGAGGTCGTACAGTAGGGCTTGGGATTTGGTGATCTCTGCTTTGCTGTCCCTGGCAGCGGCTGCCGCATGCAGGAACGAAGTACAGTACCTGGCAAGCTGGAAAGCGCAGGAACACTCTCGAACGCATTTCCGTTCCATTTCTCAGAAGTACTGAGCTGAGGCCGTGACTGCGAAGGAGAACTCGGAACCCTGGCATCCTCCACAAGAAGCTCGCGCTCCTGGGAGCGGATTGCACTGATGCGCACCTTTCCCTTTTACTCTGTTCCCAACGAATGTTCAGCCATCGGCCTCAAGCCACGAGATCAGGGCTTGGCCGTTGCGCCGTGTCATGACGACCTTGCGCAGAAGCCGACATGTTGGAGACATCTTTGGACATGTTTAGCAGCGGCTGGGACAGGCACACGGCAGAGGAATGCACCAGGTTCTGCAGGTGATAGATCCCAAATCCTGCCCATCAAAACACGTAGCATCCGCTAGATGACAACAACAGGATGGCAGTGCTGGGTGTCAAGCTGGTGGTCGAGAAGACTTGGAACACGCAACCCACCTGTGACAGAAGCATCGGCAAACCCAACACTTTGCTAGACGGTCTTCAGCGCATGACCACTATCTGATGCATTCGTCAGCTGTCGCATGACCTCAGCGCTGTCAGAAAACTGATAAGCCGCACTGAGAAGCAACATGACTTGAACAGACTTGAGTCTGGTCCACCCGAGCCTTCACTTCGAACATTGCCCGTTGTACGCTCGCATCCGGAAGTATTCCAGCTCCTTGTCCACAACGCATCTCTTTCACAGCGACCTGGATCAAGAGACCAAAGGACGTAAAGAGACATGCTCGCAAGTCGTCGGACCTCCTCTCCAGTATCCTGGCTGACGGCCGAGTAGACCTTGCAAAGCAAGGCTTGAGCAGGAAAGTTCGCAGAGACGCAGCTGAGATGATGACCCGGGCATATGCACCCTCACCGATTGCCTGCCCAAGCATGGCACAGCATCTTCCTGGTTGCATAGCAATGCCGTCAGATTCCGGGCCTCTCCAATCCTAAGCTTCATCTTTCCCACGGCGATCACCTGAACAGCGCGCCAACAATAAAGCCCTCCTCTCGAAACTGTGTAAGTGCATGCATCCAGCCTGCCCACTCACCATCGGAAGTGGCTCGCAGGGGAGCTGCGGCGGCTGCCATTTGAGCTCCTGGCGAAACTCGGAAACTCGCACCAAACTTTGACCAAGGCCCCCCAGCTGCCGAAGTTCTTCCACGGCACTAATTAATGACCAAGGCCATGTCCCGGTCGTGCAGCTTCTCTTCATGCGAGCTACACTGGAAAAAGCCTTTTTGCAGGGCAGTTGCTGCGTTTATCTCGCCGGCAGGCTGACTGTCGGAGCCGACAGCGCAGGGTGCGTCATGGGAGGCTCCATGAGCTGACGCGGGTCTGCGCCGCATAAGAGAGGCAAAGCCATCCCATGCAGGCGCTCAGCCACTCGCAACGCGTGCGGTCCACAGTCTTACCACTTTGCTGGACGTAGGGGGCCTTTTGGGCCGGCGCCAGCAACATCACAGCTGCCAGAACTCCAGGCCCACGGCTTTGCCACATGTAAGGACGGAGGACGTCCACAGCTCGAAGGAGTGCCAGGCGCATCACAAGCGGGATCGTCTCCAAATGGCCACGAGTCCGATAATACATATCGGCACTGCCATGCGTAAGCCAAGCGCGCTGAGATGCATCCCGGTGCGGGATGATGAACTTACTACCTCGGCAACTCTTTGAATCTATGGGCAAGAAGACCTGGTGTGCAGGCAACGACTTTAGTTGTCAAGGCGCTCGCTGCTGGAGTTTCCCCAACTTCTCCGCAGCATCAGGTAGTTCAGCAACTTGCAATGCGCGAATCAAGGTATCAGGATCGTCCGACACCGAGACCATCTTCTTCGATTTCATGGACAGGAATCCTGCGACACACAGCTCTCGTCCGGATGTCTTGCCACCAGTCGGAACCACGACTCTTTCAGGTGCTACTTCCGTACGGCAACTCCGAACATATCCCAACATTATTGCGATCTCGGAAAACAACCACGCTGTCCGATCTCAGTACTCTTGTCAAAAACGTCGATTTGTTGTTGCATCTCCTCACGAGTGTCCTGCACACAAGCAGAGATTTGCTATGTCCGCTAGTACTATCTTGGCTCTTGTTTTGCAGATCGGCCCCGAGAGGTTTTTTCCGTTTTCAGCACGCATTCCCCGAAGCCTCGGGCTTGAAGCAAAGCTCGCAACGGGCTTAGTTTCTGTTTCAGCACCGCAAAGCAGCATTCTACAGAGAAAAAAACGAATCGAAGGGGCTTCGCGAAACCCTGTGTTCCCAAGTAAGAGTCGCATTTAGAGCAGCAGAACCCAAGCGTGCAGCAACTAGACAACCAGACAAAGTATCGCAGTCTGTCGACGTTTGTCCTGCTTCATGAGCATGCTCTGCCCATCTCAGCACATGGTCCCAGAAGCCCCACTTGTTCAGCAACCCGACTGGCTTCAGGTGAGTGTTCAGCCTGAGAAGGACATGTTGGTTAAGGTTAGCCCCGTTCAACCCCGCTGTGTCTGACTGAACGCAGAAGGGGCTTGTTGCCGAAGGCTCATTCAAAAGGCTAGGCAAAGGCCCGGCCTTCATCGCATCGTGCATGGTCATTCTGTTTCAACCACAACAGCATCACCATCAGCACGCTCATCGTCATCATCATCATCATCACCATCAGCGTATAAGCGTCATAAGCCTCACGGGCGGCAGCAGCAACAACAACAACAACAATCGCAGCACCAGCAGCAGCAGCAGTATCTTCTTCATTCTGGTCATATCTGCCATCTCCATCAACGGCATCATCATCACCGTCATCCAATAGCAGCATAAGCGTCGTAACCTTTGATATCACCAAAATTGGAATTGCTACCATCATCACCAACGACATAATCATCATCATCATCATCGCCATCATCGCCATCATCATCATCATCATCATCATCCTCCTCATCAGCAGCATCGTCATAACCGTCATAAGCCGCACGGATGTCAACAACAACAACAACAACCACAGAAGCAGCCGCAGCAGCAGCAGCAGCAGCAGCAGCAGCAGCAGCAGCAGCAGCAGCGACAGCATCTTCTTCATGCTGATCATCCCTGCCATCTCAATCAACGTCATCATTATCATCATCTAGCAGCAGCAACAGCAGCAGCAGCAGCCGCATAAGCGTCAGAACCTTTGATATCGCCAAATCGGAATTGCAACCCCCCCATCCTCATCACCATCATCATCATCATCATCCTCATCATCGTCATCATCCTCATCATCATCATCATCGCCATCGTCATCATCATCATCATCGTCATCATCATCGTCATCGTCATCGCCATCCGCATCATCATCATCATCGTCATCCTCATCTACAATATCACTCTCTTCAACATGATTCTCCTCATCAGCATCACCGCCAGAATCAACATCATCAGCAGCATCATCAATCACCCTCATCCTTTGCACCCACATCATCGCAACGTCACCATCACCATCAGCAGCATCAGCAGCATCGCATCAGCAGCATCGCATCTTCTTCCCACGCGGCAGAAAGGGGTCTCTCTGTCCTGCGAACGCCGTTCAACCTCTTTTGGGTCGGCCATTCTAGATGGCAGGCACTGATGCCTTTTGTCGGCAGTCAGCCTCGTGGTGCCGAAGCACCATAACAAGTTATCAGCCGTACTGTACAAAGCTGATTCCTCATTATAAAATAAAATTCCTCAATCATCCATGGTTTCGAGCGAGAGCAGTAACAATGCTGGGCGCCATTGATGGCTGCACTTGTTGCTGCCGCTACTGCGTCCTCCGGGTTGCTGGACTTCCAGTCTTCTGACCCTGGCCTCCAGCATGTTCATCGACTGCTGAAGTGCTTCCAGGCCCTCTGAGAGTCCCTCGATTTGCATACGGAGAAGCGAGATTCGACTCGCAAACCAATTGATGTCCTCGTCCCGCAGCGTCCTCTGTTGCCGGGGTGATCCATGCATCTCTGGTATTGGTTGCATCCTCGCAGGTGCAGGCGGGCTTATTACCAGCAGCTGGGCTGGCAGGTGTTGAGGCTCGAGCTTCTGCTACGATTGCAGAGCATGGCACATGATCACACACCAGCAAGAGTATGTACATGTTGATGCTGACATGATCAATCTGATTGTCACCCATGCGCTGCGGCGCTTTTGCATCGTCCAAAAGCCATGGACACTGGTTCTTCCACACAACTGTTGTGTAGTGACCGGAGGTCGGTGAGGCACCATGATGCTGTATAATAGCTTTAACATGATAGTTCGTCCATGTCACTTCAAGAGTGTGGGCAGTCTGGAACACAGGCAGGCTTAGGGACTGGGGAATAAGGTATGCTTGCTGCAACTTGGTGGCGCGGCCTCCTGTTTGATAGTGAAATCTGGGCAGTTGCACAAACAGCCATCGGGGTGGCTCAGACAGGCCGTGCAGCTATTGCTGATTGTGCCACAGGTTTATCAAGTCCTGTATGTCAGGGGTAGGGTTATCTGGGTCCATAGGGAGCTGAAGACAACGATGCGCGGTGCATAATGGCTGCTTGTGCACGCCTTCTGCAGACAGCTCACGACTTTCCCAGTGGCCTGAGAGTGCTGTCCCAATCAATTTAGGATGCAGAAAATCGATAAGCTCAGCCACGTCATGCTGGTGTTGAGGCGCCGGCCATCCCAGAAGTTTAAACCCCATCAGACGGGTAGCCTTGCAGGCCTCCTCTGAATGTTGCCCGAACACCTGTCGAGTGATCGCGTCAAGGCGGCAGCGCTCGAGGGCTGACATAAGACCATACAGGAATGAATTGAGGTAGCAGCTATTGTCACCGCCTTGAAGGCGGATGTGCTGCGAAAATCGCGGCTGCTCAGACACTTCAGCGGCGTTGGGTGTCCGTCCTGCGGGGGGTGATCGGGTCAGGGAAGACGCCTTAGGGAAATTAAGTGTGGTTTGGGCCTTGGTGGATGACCTGGGCGTCGATACACCATGCCGCCGAGACGTTTTGCCATGGGAGAGCAGGGCAGGGAGTCTTTCTTCATGGAGACCCCGATGAGGCTGAGCAGGGCACAGCCCACTAGCTTCTCCAGTGTCTCGTACAGTTCCTGAGCTGTCTGGCCGCGGAGAGACACCTCGAGCTGGAAAGTCGCAACTTGAGCTCCTTGCTGCTCCAACTGCCCCAGCTGCTTGGTGGCAGCGAAGCGTTGGATGGCCTCGCCCTTCAAGTTCTTCAACAAGAAGGAGAGCAGGCGGATTGCTTCGTCGTGCTGAAGGGGCGTCCGTTGGGAGTCGGTCTGGAGTCTTTTCTCGCTGTGGTTCCATACCCGATAGTTCCAGGCTCCCGCTGTTGTCAGCCATTCTGACTGTATGTACTTCTGCTTGGCTTCCTCGGTGGCCACGGCTTGCTGGGCTAAGTTCATCACTTCTCGGACCATGCTGGCTAGCAAGACGGCGCGGAGGGGAGAGTTGAGCTGCTCCTCCTCCAGGTTTTTCTTGTTTCGCCATCCCCGTGCTATTTTCATCAGAGTTCCCAGTGTTCCGCTGGTCTCGTTGCGCATGAAGATGACAAACATTTTGTCGTGGCGTAGTCGGCTGATCATCTCTTCTTGTTTCAACACCACCCGACTGAGGAGGCTGAGCTGGTCCTGTGGCGTCGGTGGTCGCTGGCCTTGTCCCTGAAAGGGGTATTGCTGCATCGGCTGGTGGTAGCTCTGGAAATTCTGCATTCGGCGCGGTGGTAGGTTCCACCGCGGTTGCGGCTCCGGGCGGTGCCGCTTCTGGGAGCGATTGTCCGGCTCCGGCATGTAGAAGCTGTCCTCCGGTGGAGTGCCCCAGCAGCCGGCGAAGATCTCGGCTTCCTCGTTCAGCAGCTGATCGTCCCTGGCCGTGTACATCTTCGCAGTACAGCATGGCGAGCGCTAACTGAACGAGCGGGGTGCACTGTTGGGTGTGCCGATGTGGAGCACCTACCTTATGTCCGCACCAGATGCAATCACTATCCCTACGCAGGTGTGTCTTGTAGGATCCACAGAGGTTTAGGGCACGATCCAAGAGCTTGGGATGCGCAGGAGCATGGATGCGATTGTAGTGCTGCTTGACGTGTCGAAAGGATGCGATCCACATGTGACAAATGGCACAGTGATTTTTAAGCTCGAGGCGGACGGCTGGCATGGCAAGCCACTTCTCCAGATTGATACAACCGTCAAGGAACGCTTGGCGACGCACAAGCGGAAGGTGCTGGCTGTTTTCACCTTCAAAGACCTGGAGCTGCGCTGTCGGCGGTTCCCGAATCGGCGCCGGCGCGGTATCTGGCATGGGGGACCGCACAAAGCTAGCTCCACCAAGTTCGGGGCATGCACTATTCTCAATGTGCTGTTTGAGATGTGTCCACCTGAAGAATTGGCGATGGCATAGGCGGCAAGCTGGCATCCCCGCCTTGGAGTGTAGGGCTGGGTCAAAGGTAGTTGGGATCTTTGTTTGTACCTGAGGAAGGTGCTTGTGCTGCAGGCTGCAGCGAATCCTCATGGCATTTTCCGTGGCGAAGGCCTTATCGCACTTAGGGCAGTTCACCAGATGTAGGTCCGGTGGTGTGGCTACCAAGGTCTGGGCAGCACTTTGAAGCAGGGTCTCCAGGGTGGAGATCTGCTTGTTGACAAACTCAAGAGCCTGCGGCGTCGTGGTGATGTCAGGTGCTTGCACGCTTTTCTGAACCAGCCTCTGCTGGTGCATGTGCAGAGCTTGCTGAAGCTGCCAACCCGGCTGGGGGAGCTGGGCCTTGGCCCACACCGCATTATTGGTCACGTGAGTAAGGTGGGATGGAAGGCGCAGGATCGCTCGCAGTTGTCTGGTGAGATGCACATTAAGGCGCTGTAGCGTTCTGGCATTAACGCCGACAATGTGCTGAGAGTACAGCACGCTGGTGCACACACAAGCTCGCCAAAGCCGGATTCTATATCCCGTACTGAGATGATGAGAACCGTTAAGAATTTTTCTCAACCCCTGGTAGCGCTGCTGACTAGCTTTGATGCGATGAGTCATATTGCGTTCAAGTCGTTTCTGGTAGGTGACAACCGTACCCAAGTACTCATGTTGATCTTTCACAGGGATACCGCATTCTCGATTGTTCACCTGCAGTTTCAGATGAAGCTGGCCAGCCTTCATGTAGGTGTGGCTGCGTCGGATGCGGCTGGCGTCCTTGCCCGCAAGTTTCAATAGAATGGCAGTTTGCTGTAGTTGATCGTCATGCATAGTTTTTCAAGGGTGGTCAAAATCAAACTAACATCAGAAATCGCAAGCTCAAAGTCCGACTCGTCTTCAATAAGCCAGTCTCCCCAAACGTCATCCGCAAAGATTGAAAGAACTTTTTGTATCCAATCTAAGCTTCGATCGGCTTTAAGGAGAGTCAGAAAAGCAAGGGTGAAGAAGTTCCAAAGGTATGGGGCTATGACGCATCCCTGCTTGATCCCATTGGTGCTATGTGTGGAGCCCTGGAGATCCCCAACCTCAAACTTGTACAGTGCATCTTTGTGAAGTTGTTGCACAATGGTAATCACATCACGAGGAACTTGTTGGGATTGCATTGCTTGATAGATGTGAGATCTGGTGACTCCATCGAAGGCTCTAGAGAGATCAAGGGATAAGCATAGGCCCCCGACGCAGCGTCGGCTGCGCCATCCAGCTTGCTGCTGGAATCGATTCACCTTGGTGCGATGAAGGATTTCATCAACTCTGTGGAAATGGCTGCGCGCCTTGGCGATAGCATCTGCTGCGCCGCGGCTTTTGGCGTAAGCGAACTGCGGAAGGGCCTTGATTTGGCTGGCCAAGCCATCCAGCAAGTGAGTGCGAAGACATCCTGCTAGTGCTTTACTTGCGGGACTGGTAAGTCCTATTGGTCGTAAGGCAGTGACCGCAACAAATCCACACCACGTGGGTGTTCTTCCAGTCGTCATCCAGACGGGCTTTGGAGCCTTGGCGGAGGTGATTTCGAAGAGCAGCGCCAAACGTTTCCCCCAGGTTCTGGGCACAGAGCTTCCATGTGGCCGATGGTGCCACATGTTTGGGTACCGCTTTGGAGAGGCCTAGCTTTCGCAACTCAGCAGAGAAGGATTCATCGCTGACGCAGAAGTCTTGCTCAAGCGCATGCAAGGGCTCATCGTCTGGATGCACTGCAAAAGTTGCATTACTGTGCTTCACAATGGCCTGAAGCTCTGCCTCCTTGGACAGCAAATGGCCCTCCGGGCCTCGAAGACGGCTGGCTATGAGGCGGGTTTTCGGGGACAAGCGTTTGACTATGAGGTGCAGGCTGCGTTGATCGCCTTTGGCCGCAGCTGCTTCGGCTTCCGCAACTTGTGCCTCATAATACTGTTTCTTGCGCAGCTTTGCTGACGTAATGTCCTGGAAGCCTGTGCAAAGCGGGCAGCCTGTCGCCACTTCTCGAAGATGCTGCGGAAGGTGCAGACGCCTGATCTTTTGAGTAAGCGGTAAATGTGCCACACATTTCTGGCAAGCAGACGATAGCCAGGCTGTGCACTGATGCGGGTGTCCTGGGTCCGGGTGGCCGGGAAGAGCCGGCTGGTTTCCTCCACCAGGATGCGATTGACATGCTGATGTGCACTGAGGAGGTGGCTGGTGTCCACCTCCCCCAAGCGGCGGGCTACACTGAGCTGCAGCTCCTGCGCGGCAGGAGTGAGGTCACGGACTGCTTGTTGAAGTGCAGTGGAGTCAAAGGCTTTGGATGTGGACTGAGATTGGGGTTGGCGGTAGAATGGCTGTATCGGTAGCTGAGCGAAGACGGGAAAGTGTCCCGTTAATCGGGACGACCCCACCGGGAAAGAGGTCAGCGGATGCGCTTGTTTTGCCAAGTGCTTGGCTGCTTGTTGACGCCCTAAGACAAAGTCTATTTGCGAAGACCCACTAGTCGAGTAGTAGGTATCCCGGTGCCATGTGTTCAAGGCAGTCAGTGCCTGACGTTGCATGAGGGCCGATAAGTCGGTGTCATGATTGGCATCCCAGTCGGTGGCCGAGGGTCCTACCATCGGGGGGTCAGGTCTTAAAGTGGAGTTGAAGTCCCCACAAATGACGAGTCCATGTCTGATTGGAACACGTTGCACCGTTTGCTCCAAGCTGTGCCATATGGCATTCCTTAAATCCCGGTTTTGGGCAGCGGTGAGATGTGTGCGCCACACATGTTGGTAAACCCCTATGAGACTAAAGGGGAGCTTGGTGTCTTTAAGGGTGGCCTGAACCAATATGAGACGACCTGGGTGCAGCTCTTGTACTCTGGGGTCCTGGAAGGTGCGGCGATTCAAGAGGACCAGGAGTCCAGCAGACTTGCTGTGGCCGTCCGTGGCGTTCCTGCCGGACGAATGCATTGCTAGCCATGGTCCAGAGTTAAAATCTCCGGTCTCACCCCAGTGTGTTTCCTGCAACATGAGGATGTCATAGTGTGCATTGAGCTCGCTCCAGGAGAGGAGCTCCTGGAACAGCGGCCCTGTAAGCCCACTGGTGTTCCATGAGAGCACACTGACGTGCTTGGTCTTGCTGGCACTGCGGTCATCTCGTTGGCGCCTGGGCCTACGAGCATCCGAGGGGGCAAGTGGGGGCAGCTGGCCTAGGGTGGCAGTTGTGTGCCATTTCCCTTTGTACCAAGTACCCTGATTAGGTGATGCATGAGCCCTGTTCCTTGCCCTACGATAAGCCCTTTTAGCTGATTTGAGGAATTTGGGAAATAATTTGGGCATAGCCGCTGTCAGAGCGGATGGCTGGGCGGCTGACTCCGAAGGGAGCGTTGTGCCACGATGCTTCCCCACCGCTGCAGAAGCAGCAGTGAGTTCCCCTCCTGACGTGGTTTCAGGAGGAACCCTCGCTCCTCTAGTCCTCTCTAAGATGCACATGAACATAGCTAAGCGAAGACTAGTCCCGGATTTGGGACCGGGAGGGCCATGATGTTGAGGCATACGACTTGATTCTATGCTTGGGGTAATCGGAAGGGCATGCCGGTTACACTCGGAGATATTGCAGTAGGAGCTGGCAGGCGCAGATTTAGCAGATCTGAGCAGAGCTCCTGCGGCAGTCCTCGCTCCGGTGCTTGGCACGGTTTTCCTGTGTTGGGGTTCCCATTGGGGTTGTGACTTAAGGTCATTAGGGTCGTGAGGTTCCTTAGGGTCCTTAGGGTTCTTAGGGTCTTGAGGGGATATTGTATCCGGCACATGTTCCTGCCTCTGTGAGGTGGCAGCTCGCTGGCTGCGAGCTTCTCGCGCACTGCAGGTGCTAGTCATGCCGGCTTGGCGTGCGGGATCGTCGGATCGCTGCAGCTGGCCGTCGTCTGGGTCGGCGGTTGTGGGTGGCTTCAAACTCATAGGTCTGCCACTCCCTGAGCCTTTCCCCGGTAAGTCGCTGTCTGGCTTCATGTTGTAGTTGAAACCAGTCGCTGGAATTTGTGCGGCGGCGCAGTCCTCCCAAACATCCAGCCTGGCTGCGGCCTGGGATCCTCCTCGTCCGCAACTCTTGCCGGTAAAGGGCATGCAGTCTTTCAACGGCACTGTGCAGAGATGGTCCCTGTAAGACCAAGCTAGTCTCGCTCCAAGAATAGGAGCGAAGAGAGGTGCGAGAGTGGCAGCTTTGGGCACTGGATGACGAAGAGGGCGGCGATGGCGGCGATGGCGGTGACGTGGAGTCTCCGTTGACTCCACTTGCACGTTCTGCTTCTCCCGTGGGTCTGGCCTCTTGCTGCTCGGCAATGGGCGGGGTATTTCTGTCCACCCTGGGTGCAACGCCACCAGGGGGAGGTGGTGGACCTGCTCGGCGCCGTGCTTCTTCCAAAGTGGGAGGTCCTTGTACGATGTGGTCCCTCGGCGTACGATCCACGTCGTCCAGAGAGTCAATGCAGTCCAGACTATCAGGCGTGCCGGCACCGTCGGCATCGCTCATGCAACCCACTTCGCCGAAGTAAACCCAGAAGAGAAAGACCCCAACACAAGCACAGACAAAAGTCGGGCACTCAGCTTCGGCTTGGGCCCAGGAGCTTGCAGCGTCGCATCATCATCATCATCATCATCATCATCCTCGTCATCATCATCAGCATCATTTAATGCCTAGCCTCATCATCAGTATTATCTTCATCCTCGAGATCTAAGTCGTCATCGTCATCATCATCTTCAGGGTCGAGAGGTAGAGAGAGGACGTTGCATGCCTAAACGATGGAAACGTTCTGACCCCAACCAACTCCATGCGAAGACTCTCTACTCCCCGAGCTCCAAACCCAGCAACAGCGCACATATAGGAGGAAGAGTCACGTATGAGATTCTGATGTCCCCCACGTGTGCACGCGTTCTGACACAACAACGAAGAAGGAAGTGACTGACTCTGCAGGTGAGGTTGGCTATCTACAAAAGCATCTTGTCGCTTCCTTGACACAAAGCGCAGTCAGTTCAAGATAACCCGTCACGGCTCTTAGGTTGGAACCAAGAGGCTGTGTCCATGTGACAACTTCGCTAAACTCCTCCAGAGTTCCCCATCCTCCTGGAAGCGCGATGAACGCATCTGCCAGCTCGGCCATTAAGGCTTTCCTGACTGGATGTCGGCTTCGAATGAAGTGTCCATTGCCTCTTTCAAAACAAGCAGATCTCAAGCACTTCGGTTTCTCCTCTGATGCATGGACTCCACCACTCTCAAAGAAGTGCAACCAGTGTGTGCCACTTCCTTTTCCACCAGGTTCCTTGCAAGAGTTGAAGTCGAGTCGGGCCGAAAAGTCGCTACAGGTCTAGTAAATCTAGTCTCATTGCCAACAGATCTTCGCCTGATTTTGACCAACCCCGGCCTTGGAATCACACCGATAACTTCAGCACCCTGCGCCAATGCTGCATCTGCCAAGGCTCCCATCATGCCCGCTCTACCACCACCAAAGACCACCCCAATACCATGTCGCGCCAGGGCTATTCCCAGGTCAGCAGCGCTCTTGAGGTACCTCTACGGAAGCAGCAAAAGGCGAGATGTCCCACCATGCAGCCTATGATTATGAGGGTAGCAGACCAAGATTTCAACACCTACCAGGTAGCCATCTCAGGCAGCAAGGTGCTCTCTATCGACCTGCGCACTGCTGCCACCATACACACAGATCCGGCGAAAGCTGCGCTTCTCCTCAACTTCGCAACAAGCAGGCCTTCAGTGTACTGTGATAGGGGTTAGGCTCGGCCTATGATGCAAGACTTGGCAATGCGGGCCAAGCCTCTGCCATGTGCCCTATCCCGGAGCTGCTTGAGCCAGACTCGAGAATCAGCAGAACCATGGGGTCAGAGACCCGAGCAAAAAGCACAAATCCTTCGCTCCTGCGTGGGCTTCGTATCCAAAGCCGGTGTGTCAGACGGGCGTCGCCTCAGAACTCCAGGATAAGCAAGGCTGGCACCGACTACGGTGCCAGCAAGGAAAGTCCAGACTGTCTGCAGGCAGGTCACACCATGTGAAAGACGGGCCTCAGGAAGCACAGCAAACTTCACGCGCACCTTTAAGCATAACATGCGTCCTAAGCCGTGCATTACATGCCCCGAGGACCCCACACTACAGGTACGGGCCATCGCTGCGATGGCATTGGGCTGCCCACCCTCACCAATGATGGCGCCTGCACAGGGTTCTGAGCTGCCAAAGAGTCATGAGGGGCGGAGAACTGAGACAGCCTGCACTGGAGCTGGAATCGTCATGGGCGAAGGCGCAGGTGACACCGTTCGAGGATACATCTTCCTCTGGCAGACTTCCGTCTCTCAAGACCGTGGTTTGTCTAATGCAAGGCAACAAGACAAGGTCGGAGCTGCTGCCGGACTGTCGGGTAGTCTGTCCTTATCTGCCCGTCATCGCCGTGTACTGGCATGGCCTTCAAGATGGACCGATGATCACGACCCATCATCAATCACAAAAGACTGTGCAACATGAATGCTAGAGAAGACCTTGATGTGCTGATCCACAGGAAGAAGTGGAGGTCGCAGAACTGCAGCTCCAGGAAAGACAATGCCCCTGCAGACGTTGAAATGACGCAGAACTGACCGAACGTAAATCCGAACAATACGAACCACATTAAACATGCTGTATCGGGTGGGTCAAGAAATCAAGTACTGATGTTTGCCACAAAACTCTGGTGTCCTGGATGATCGCACTGCGAGTGGTGAACCTTGCCTGGCTTCAGAGTCAATTCAGAGGCAGTAAAGATTTTGTTTCTGTCACGATCCCACGAACTCAACATGCAGTTATCCAAAACAAGAAGAGCAGCTTGCCATTCCAAAAGACCCAAGTGACCCGCAACGGCCGCTTCAAACTTTCCAAAACACAATCGACAGTAATCATATCGTCATGAAAGTACGTGCCGAAACCGTTCAACTCGCCGGGCCTGGATGGCGAAAACGACCTTGGAGCCGGTTGGCCAACACCTGAGCACGCACATGTGCTTGATTTAAGCGCTTTGCGTCCGAACATGCACACGACAAGACCACCACGTTGTCGGTCTTGCCTGGAAGTGCCCTCAAATGTATAGGAGACACCCACCGCATCGGAACCGGCGATACAGCTCGACCTCACAAACGGCACATTTCTGCACACGAAAGCCAAAAAACAACCCTGGGTTTCACACGCTCAAGCTGGTATCCAGATGGCGGCAAGCCTGCACAGTTGAAGTCAAAATACCACCCAGCTCCAAGCTTCATGCGAATTATCCGAGCAGCCTCCACGAAATGTGGAGACTGAACGGGCATACTTGGCAACCTTGGTCAATGAAGTCTTTCACTGCAGAATGACAACAGCTTCTCACCGAGCATGTCGCAGGCGCAGGCTTCATCACGAAAG